ACCCATTAGAAATCACACAAGTATCGAAAATAAGTGGACAATTTGAACCGACGTGTGGTAAAAAGCTTAACAAGATCGTAGTCAAAAAAAAATATTACTATCGATATTTTTATTGGTATATACTTAATTTAGTTCGTAACATGTCAAAAAGATTGGAGCAAGTTAATTGTAATAAGATAAGCTATTGACTTATTTTTTCTTCATGTAATAAAGTATATAATTTTAAAATTTCATATATTTATGAGTTATTTTCAAAGAGCAAAAATTAAAAATGTAGTTCCGAAAACTTTCGTCGTACATTGAATTAAAGAAAAATTTTTAATTTGTGGTTAGAACACATTGACATTCGTGCAATATAGTAAATAAACACTATTATTTATAAACTTGCATATATTCATTCCGGTGCGCGCCACCATAATGATCATTTTTTAAGTATATGCCCAAAGCCAGAGAAAGAGTTTCGTGTTATTTTTTCCAAGAAAACACACCCCAAAAATTAGGTTATGATTTTCTGAGATTAATGATTGAAGAAAAATTGAATTATTTCATTAATAACAATAAAAAAAAAATTACACGATTCAGCGATACACACCTTTGTCTTTCATTTTGACTCCTCAATAAACTTACTAACTTTAATCCCACGGGTGGAATAACGAGTGACAAATAGGATAGATTAAATAGTAAAAAATGAAACATGGTGCGGTTTGACAGATATATATAAGTCACATGACCGAGGATTTCTGATGGGAAAATCATCATCACATGTCAACAGACACGTGTACTGTATAATTTTATTTATATTGTTCATAGGCGTGACAATTACTAAACTATCGTTAACAATAATTTTGCATTACAATAACACGTTATAAATGTCATGAAAAAAAATATTGTACAAGTAAAATACATCATTTTCGCGACTACATGTATAGTAAGTTTGCGTTGCTGAGAGTTCAACTTTGTTGTCGGTGAAGCAAGTCAAGTAGTCGATAATAAAAATGTGAATGATAAATTTTCCTGCAATTTAGCAACAATACTCACAAGAGATAGAGAAGATGTGTAGTAAGGTTGGAAGATTTACCCGAAGGATGTGAAGTTTAACTTGTGAAGAACTCTGCGTGGTTAAGAATGATGTACTTTATATACACAAAATCGAGAAAACCTAAGAAATATATATAAAGGAGCTCCTATGATACCAAGAGATGTTGTGGAGGCTTTGACCAACGATATAATAACATATTGTTCTGCTAAATTTAATACAAGATTCTGAAAACTTAAGAAGAAAGATATGATGGATGGTCAATGTAAAGATTATATTAAATTTTTCATGGATTTTGCTTCGATAGATGTTAATATCATTAGAGGTTGGAACCGACACAAAAATCCTTAACCGGTTAATAACCGGTTAAAATAATCTTTAACCGCTTAATCAACCGGTTAATTTAACTCAGGCCGGCACTGCAAAGCTAGCGAAATTTTTAATCACAAAAAAATTTAAATATGCCCGAAAATAAATTTTGGCCAGAGTTAAGATTAAATATTTTAACCGGTTAAAAACACAAAATATAAGGTATTATAGAATAGTCTATGATCCCTAAAAAATTTTTAGGACATCTCAAGAAAGTTGAATTTTATGTTGGATCTGTGATAGAAATCTTAGCTTGTGCATGAGATATAAAGTACAAAACAATATTCTCTAATGTTGAATTGCGGAGAATGAAGCCAATAATGATAACGGATCAACTTACTGTATATTTTCGTGGAATAATATTATCAAAAGGTTTACTGATGATGACAACGAGTATGAGACTTTCATGAAAAAATGTTGATAAAAACTACACAAAGCTTCAACTGTCATTAAAAAACGAATATATTTACATGCGGAAATGAATATACTGGACAGTATGATAAACAAGGAAAATAGAAATAGGGTGTTTATAGCAGTGTCAAAAAGATGTTGTTACTTATGCGAATCTTATATTGATTTTGCACGAAAACAAGGTCATATCTGGAAAGAACAAAAAGATATACAATGGATGGAAGCTTTCGCATGTAGCAAATAGCAACTTCATGAACGAATCACAATATTCTAGAAAATCTTGATCTAATCATAAAGAACAAGTTAAAATACTACACTAGTAATGCATTGACGGATTATGATAGTATAGAAGAAAGTACGAATGAATGCTGATGATTATCATAGTGAAGCAGAAATACTTAGTGAAATATTTGGGATCTGATATGAATCATTACCAATGGGAGCTTAACACTATTTTTTTTTTACCATGTAAAGAAGAAAAAATGCTTTAATGCTGTAATTGCAGGAATGAGGGAATATTATATCAATAAAACATAAGAGATCAAATCGAATCAATATTTTTTTTTGAATGATGTAAAAAGCCGCGCAGCTTAACAAGTGGATTTTAAAAGCATTTCGAGCTTTAACCCATACTCCATTCTTGTTTAATGCCAATATTATATGAGCCAATTCTCAACTATACCTATGCTAAAATTTTCGCAACTATGTTATCGAATAGTATAACATAAATAATATAAATTATTTCACAAATTCCGAGATCTTTTGTAAACTTTTTTAAAAAAAATAAACAATATTTCCGATTCATTCTATTTTACCTTTATATTTTGTACTCACAGCATTTCATTATTCCGTCTAACATCAAGAATTCGGCGTTGCGTTGATAGTTCATTGATATACTGCGGCAGACTTTGTGCTGAGGAATTGGAGAAATTTATTTGGCAAATCTCTTCCTACTCGAAAAAAGACAATCGAAAGAGAAGTATGGAGAGGTTCTTATAACAAATTATTTTAAATTATAAATTTTTTTTTTGAAAAGCTTGGCCTTGTGAGATCATTTAAATGTAACTAGAAAAGTTTATCGTTAATATAACGAATTACGTTATATATTTTTTATAGATTACTTTACTTGTTCATCAGAAATTATTTTTACTTGGAGGTTAGAAGGATCATTCAATGAATGGATACCGGCATTCGAAAGATGCTTAAAAATCTTAATAAAAACTTTCGTTGAGTATTGGTCTAGGAAATGATGATGACGTTGAAAACTAGCATTGAAGAACAAGATTACTACTACTACATCGGATTCATTTCATCATAACGTTAATCGTCGAAATTATATTGTCGGAATTGTCTCTTGGTGTAAATGAAGCATATGAGTCGATCAATCATATTTGCACTATATTGAACTATATCGGCCATATGGCCTTTCTTCATTTGAGTTGGGGAAATATGAACCTTTCGTTTCTCAAATTTCATGATGTCAACTTTTTAATGTGGTACTTATTATTGTCTTCTAAAGACTAAAAATACCTTTTACTATACGTCAATTTGATGTTCTACAATATAAAGATTTCAATTTCATGTAATGGTAAAGGGGTTGGAATCGTTTCAAAAATCAAAATCGAATCGTCAAAAATCGATTTTTAAATGATTAATCGGAAACTAAAAACGATTTTCGATTCCAGTTTTGAATAGAACAGTACAGTCGTAATAATTTATAATAACAATTTAGAGCTTCATTTGTTTATTAGAAATAAAAAGCTAAAGATGATTAAAAAACAAAATGCAAAATTATGTTTCACAACATGTGTCTATCACGTGACATGCTTATCGGATTTAAAACTTTTTTTTCAATGTTACCCCTACTATAAATTATATCTAATGAAAATTTAATAGTGTTATTTTGTAGTATAATATTCGTTTTCGGATTTTTTTGATGGAAATTTTCGTAATTCAATTAGTTTTATTTTACTATAATTAACGTTAACGTTAATCATCAAAAAAATCAAAAATAAAGTGAAATTATTTTTTTACAGCGACAAAGCACTACCTTTTCATCGTATCACTCATTTTGATATTTAAGTCAAGAGTTTCTTTTAATCGCTTGTATTATTCTTTAAGTATTATGCGGCACGTATCGCGTCACAATTCTGTAATTGGATTTATTCGAAGAGGTGTTTTTTTTAGTCGCGAATATATACATGATTCTATTATATAAATGGTTAAACAATAATAATTTATTTATTTTAAATAATATTATCAGATTATATTATGAGAATCTCAGGTGAAAATTTTTTAAAACTAACGTAATACAATATGGATAATGATGTGGCTTACCATTCATATCATGCCTAATTTTATACGGATCAAACTTCATCTACTTGATTATCGATATGTATTTTTTTTAATTAAACTGTTCTGTTATAAAGTTATATTAAGTAATGTACTGTATATGCTTACACAACATTTAACAAAATATAAATAATTACAAACTTTGGAAGACGTGAACAATCCCTTTTCTACATTTTACTTGTAGCACCGAAATAAAATTGTGATATATTAATGGTATTAATGGGTTGAGAAATGAAAAAAAAACTATCCACCTTTTTATTTTATATTTTACCTTCGTGCATTTGCATTGCATAAAAAAAAATAACGAGCTTTTTGACGCATACAAATCAGCCTTGAATATTTTTATCTGTATTATCTCATAACAGATATACTTGTTTGTTTTATGACGGTATATTAATTCTTCGTGTAACAAACCTTTTTTTTTTAAAAAAAAAGAAATCGAATGTAACACTATCCAAAAAACAATAATAATATCAATTTTGCTGTCTCACGTTACTTTTGAGTAACTTTCCTAATTTAATGAACAAAAACAATTATTTTAGAACTCTTATAAAATGCTTGGTTAAAGAAATACATCGTATTCATTAAAGATTTATATCATCAAAATTTCATAAAATAAAGCAAAATAAAAAAAGGTAAAAAGACTTATTATCATTATTTTTTTTTCTTTGTTACAAAAAAAAAAAATATTTTAACTATAAAGTTTTAAAACCTTAATTATTTTTCTCCTTTTTTTCTTTAAACAGCGCTTCGATTATTATTTCTTTTTTAAAACAATATTACAACCTTTCAACACGTAAACTTCCCCTTTTTAAACAAGTTTTATTTTAAAATGGCCAAAACCAAGCAACCAAAATATCAGCACGTATTTACTTTAGACAATTTCAAAAAGAATGCGACTAGTAATATTAATGTCGCACTACCTGACCCTAACAACGTTTTGTCCTTTGGGGCTAAGAAGAGCGATAAAGAGATTGTGTACAGTTCAAATTTTAATCTCGATGTCGAAATCCTTTTAAATAACTCTACTACAACTCGTCTTGCGATGAAAAATAAAAAAGAGGGCGTCACAAAAAGAGTTCCACGTCGTCAAAACCCATGGATTCTTTATCGTAGAGATAAAAGTGTGAATCCCTATTTTATCGGCATGAAATCTTCCATGATTTCGAAAATAATTGGAAAAATGTGGAATGAAGAGTCAGAAGACGTAAAGGAAATTTATGCTGCGCTTGCTAGAATGGCTGAAGCAAGGCATATGGAAAAGCATAAAGATTATAAATACAATCCTAAACTTCACAAAAGACCTAAAAGTAAATCAAAACAAAATAACTCACCTTGCCATTCAGAATTAAACTTATCTACTTCTACTACTCCTCCTTCTCCTTCTCCTTCTCCTACTTCTCCTTCTCCTTCTCAATCTTCATCTTCTTTTTCACCTTCCGCTTCTCCGCAAATGTCCGACTGTGATCCAAATTTTTCTTCCTACTTAGGCTCACCAATCTTCTCTGAATATGAAGAAATTGCCAATTTGGATAACGCTTCTTCCTCCTACAGCTCGCCACAAATTTCTCAATTTGTAAGTTTGGATGAAGGCAGTTCTAAAGATATGAAGGACGTGACATATTTAGATTCGAGCTCCGAATTTGAAATATATAATATATTGGATAATGAGTCCATTTCCTCCTCCTCGGTCCCTAGCTCCCCGCAAAACCTTGAAAAATACTATACCCTTCCCAATCATTTCCCGTCGATAAACTCAATCAATCAATCACCGTCGACATTATCCCCTGTAGAATTTAATAAATTTACAACATTGGATGAATTTGTGCAACCACCAGACATCATAAATGATATCTCGGCCGTTTTTCTTTGTTCTAACTCTAATGAAAACATAGTAATCGACGACTCTGAAATTATGATGCCGCCACAATTTTCAGAAATGCCATTAAATTATTATGAATTTATTTCCGAAGGTACCTTCTTTAGTAATACTGATTTCGTTCAAAGTTTCCTCCTTTTAATTACAATTTTGACTTTTTTTTATTTTATTTATAGATAATTCTTTCGAATTATTTAAAGGTTCTGGATCTCTACAATAGTTATTTCCTTATGGCATCTCCGCTGTGAGTCACTTTATCTTTTTTTTTTTAAATCTCCTCAACATCCTTTTTTCAAGGATTTCAATTTGACTGATTGTGGGGATGTTTAAAAGGAAATAACTATCGTAAAGATCTTCTATCTTTTTAATTTCCCAAAATAGTCACCATTTTAGATAATTTAAATTTTTTTATTTTATTTTTTTTTAACGATATACCTTTATAAAATCAAGATAATTTTTTTTTATCATTTTGTATTAATAACTATTTAATAAAGGTATCTTTTTTCTTTGCATTTTCATACTTAAATTGATACAAAATTATAATAAATAATAATATTGTTAATATTATTCCAACCTTTACGAAACTACTAATAAAATGCATCCTTTTGAAATATTTATAAATTTATTCGATATATAGTGTATATAGATCAGGTTTCATTCATAATTTTTATAATAAAGAAAAGGTACAGTATATCCAGAGTTTTTTAATGCATGATTCCAAATGATTGTGTCACCCTCGGTTTTTACTGCGCCAAAATTTGATTACCTGCGGCTATGACGAATTGACTTTTCAGTTAGGACTATTCGAGAATGGAAGAAAGTGTCAAAATGACCATTTTTGACATCAGTCAGAGATCAATTAATAAGAATTTCCATCATCCAAACTGCAAGCCTCCTCTTTTCAAAAGAATGTCGTAACAAAGAATTTTAATATAAAAATACTTTGAACATTATTTTAAATAGATAGTACTTTTCTCTTGGGCCTATTACTGAGCGTCGTCGGCAGAGGCAGTGATAGTAATTTCTTTTATTTCATTTAAAAACTTTATTATTTTTTATTTCTTTAAAAATTGGTTTACATGCTACTTTAGTTATATCGCAATTACATAAAATAAATCTATAACTACCTCTCTGATGAGAAAATAGGAGGAAACATTGGCAGTAGGTATTTTTGCGATATTATATTTAAGCGTAAGATTTTTTGATCACAATTTGGATTCGGATAAGACCAAAGAATTTTATTTTCAAAAAAAAAATTATTTATTTATCAATACTTTTATTGTTAAAAACATCCATTCCTGTAAATTGTCAGCTTTCCTTTTTTTTTAATTTTTTAATTAATTTTTACTTCCGCAACAATTGAAATTTATTTTATAATGAGTATTGTATGCGATGTGTTCTTGGGTTAGTTTTAAAATCTTTTTAATTTTTTTTTTATTCTCGAGTTTGATCGCATTAAAGAGTAAAATAATTTATTATTACAATACAGCTCTCATGATTTAATTAAAGTTTATAATGTGATTAATATCCTACATCCTACATTATAAATATTTCTAATTATACGTTTTCCATGATTACTACAGTAGTTCATATGGCCTCTTTGTATTTTCTCATATGATCACTTTGGATATCACTTCAGGTATTAACGCGTTTTAACTACATTTTTATGAATTAATCATAAAAAATTGTATTGCGGAAACTAAATTTAAATTTTGAGGATTTTCTATATCAAAATCAAGTACTGTATAATCAATCCACTAGTTAACTTATTATTGAAGCGATGTAATCTTATATTCAAACATATTCCTACTTTGTATGGCAAATTAATAATTAGGAGCTTTCAAATATTTCAAAATTTATCGCCTCATTCAATTTAAACGTAAGAATTTCTAACTGCTACCATATAATTTTCATAACCTTATTCTTTATGATTATGTTGTTAAAATAATAATAAATTGGTTTGTTTATACAAAATCATCCTATAAGATTTTAATCATTGTTTATTATAAGAAATTGTGTGAAAAACACATTATGTAAAATTTAGGGTTGATCTTATTTGGTAATATTTATAAATTGAGATAAATAGTGAAAATATGGCGTATATAGCGTATTTAAAGTAAGTAAATTCTAAGCGAATGTTATTTATCATGTGTGTAACTAAAAAACAATCTTCCATAAAATTTACTAGTAGACTATACCTAAACTTAGTATATCGCACACCCATACTTCTCATGACTCGATTGTATCAAAGTAATTCGTTATATCCATTATGATTTAGGTTATCGGATAAAATTCATGTTTGGGGGGGGTATATGGAAAACCGATAATACTGGTACGGTACGAATCCCAATACGGTATGTTCTTGTAAATCGGTAAATTCGAATTAGCAGCTTCGTACTGCGGTACTATCTGTACCATCCGTTTTATAAATTTTCTTTGATAAAAATCAATACGAAATTTAATATATATTGAACTTGAGTTTTTTGATTCATGACATATTTGTCAAATTGATTTGAATTAAATTAAAATACATAAAAGAATTATAAAAGAACAAAAACAATTTTAAGCTGCAAAATGATTAAATTTTTTTTTTTAAAAAAAAAAAGATCTGTAAATATACATATTTTTGTATTTATTATGTTAAATCGGTTGAAAATTTAATTTTTTTTAAAACATTAAAGAATACCTTATTTGTCACTTGGTTAATTTCGGTCAAGTTTTATAATTCCGGCCAAATATTAGTAAGGTGAAAATCATATCTTCCTCAGTAACACCTTTTCCACCCCACGTGACTGGTATTTCAGATCATTTCCAAAAATGATAATCAAAATTTACCGGGAAAATTTTTTTTTTATTTTATTAATAAAAACTTATTATAGACGTTATCTAATCTTAAACTCATGTTTTATACCTATTTTATCTGCTCTGCAAGTTTTCTTGGAGAATAAAAGTAGCTTTTAAATACTAATTTTTGTAAAATTAATTATTTTGAAATGTTCATATTTAAAGTCAAAATCCATGTCCAAAATCTACTTTTATTGTCTAAGTAAACTTGTAAAGCAGATAAAAATACATATAATATATAAGTTTAAAATATAAAACCTTTGCTTCAAAGTTTTATTCTTTATTTTTAAAGATTATTGACAAGTTGGTCATATGGGATAAAAAAAGTGTTAGTGTTAATGATAATCATGGTCATATCAAGAAATTTACACGAAAAATCATTTATCTTGAAATATTGTAATCTTAAATCTTGAAAGAGTTACATTATAATAAAGGAATTCATAATTATTTAAAAATATTAATATTAACACTTACTTTTATCTTTGTAGAACTTTGAAAATTTTAGAATTTTATTTTAAGTATAAGTACATATAATTAATATATAATTGAATTGTTTTATAAAAATAAAACAAATACTAATTAGAATAAATGCAATTTAACTTTTAATGCATTTCTTTTTAAAAATATTATATGTTATTAACAATGTTTCTGTAAAGAAAAATCACTAACTTAATTCAGTTCTTTAAATTAATTATAAAACTTTTTCACTATTATGCCTATATGAAAACATAACAAAAAGTAATAGTAAATAAATGATAAATATCTCTTAATTTATTCATAAAATCCTATTTCAAGTTATTTTTCAACAAAAAGAAAAGTAATAAAATTTATATAAAATAAATATTAATAATATAATATATTAAATATATTCTATAATTAGTAGTATCAGCCGTTAGATTCAGAGTCGATGGCTAAATCGACTCTGTAAAAATCATTTAGAGTCAACTTCAGAATTTTCAATAATTATGCTATGACTGAGTCACTTTTTCAAATTTGATATAAGATCAGAATATTGTGTAATTATTAATTAAATAAAACTTCAAATTTTTAGTTAAATAGAATTCTTGTCAACATATTTTATAATGAAACTTATAATTATCTATCTTTTTGCAACATTAATTAATTAATTAAATTTTAAAAATTTTGATTTTAATAATACAATTATCGTCACTAATTTCAAATGAGAGTCTTAACTCAGTCGACCACTGAGTCGACTGAAAAGTCTCTAACAGCTAACTGAATAGACTCCAAAATTTGTCACAACTAGTATTACTATCTATTATATATATAAAAATATAATCATATAATAATAATACATATAAAATAAATCTATTTAATATTAAAAACACTAGTTGAAATAATACATTTCGTCACTTTTTTAAAGTGTCAAATGTTAGTCAAAATATAATCTAATTTCTGCTGATCATTGCCAAAACAATCAGCATTTTTGGTTATAGCCGAAGTTGTACATTTTTATGCCACACAAAAAAACATTCGACATTAATGATTGGTAGTTATTTGATATATTATTAGGCAAAATAAAACAATTTGTCACATTTAAAGTACCGAAAATTAGCCAAAAATAGTCTAATTCTACTGATCATTACCAAATAATCAGCATTTTAAGTAAATAGAAAAACAGCTATCAATTAGCATTTATGTTAAAAATTAGTTAAAATTCAGCATAAATCAGCTTAAAATTGGTCAACAATTAGTAAAAATTAATTAAAAAATCGAAACTAATAAAATTAATTTTTGTTTATTTATGATTTATAATTTTATTTTATTATTACATAATAAATTACCCAAAAAGAATATATATTATATTATATTTTATTCAAAAAAAATATATTTGATTTTTTAAAGTAAAGAAAAAATAAAGAAAACAGTTAGAAAACTACCAAAATATCACCTCTGAAAGGCTTACCTTAATGTATTTCTAAAAAAGTAAAGAAAAAGTAAAGAAAAAATAAAGAAAACAGTTAGAAACCCACTAAAATATCATCTCTAAAAGACTTACCTTAATGTATTTCTAAAAAAAAAATAAAGAAAAAATAAAGAAAACAGTTAGAAAACCCATTAAAATACCACCTTCGAAAGGCTTAACTTAATGTATTCCTAAAAAAATTAAAGAAAAAATAAAGAAAACAGTTAAAAACCTACCAAAATACAACTTCTGAAAGGCTTATCTTAATGTATTCCCAAATTTTCATCATAAATTAAATGAAAATGTGATGATGATAGTGGAGCAGAAAGAGGAGGAACATTATTTAAAAAATAATTAAAAAAAATAATAATAATAAAGATCAATTGATTAATAAATTCATATTATTTTTTTCATAAAAGTTGGTTATAAACTAAAAGGTTATCTTATAAATCACATGATTTTTACCTTGTCACAAAATCCATCCAATCAGCTAAAATTAGCAGATCCTCAAAATCTATCCAATTAACCAAAACTGGCAGATCT